TAAACCCTAAACCCTAACACCAAACGCTTCATCTCCAAACTGCTACATTCATATGACTGTTAAGCTTGCCTAGGATACCCAGTAACCTAAGAATGAAAAGGCCTCCCTTTTTGGTATTGGGTAACTTTATAAGGAACCTAGGACCACAGAAAGGGAATAAGGGTACTACTGGGCATCCTAGCATATTTCCCCAAAGCCCTAAGCGTACACTCTAAGTTGCTCATATTAAGGGCCATAATATTACTATGATTTTAAGCTTCTATATCATATAACTGTAGAACTGTAGAAAACCCTAAGCCCTACCTCTAGCCAAAAGGACCTACCGTTTTAGGGTTCCTTATTATGGTTTCTATATAAAGTTCCTTAGAAAGGTAGGTCTTTTCGGCTACCGGTAAACACTCAACAAGGATGCCCAGTGACCTAGGAATAAAAAGGGGTCCCTTTTTGGTATTGGGTAGCCAAATAAGGAACCTAGGACTACAAAAAGGCAATAAGGGTACTACTGGGCATCCTAGTACAGTAATCCCCATAAAGTTGGAAACCGGATTAAGGCCAAATAGTCATGGGATTCCCTATACATTACTCTTAAGGATTGAGGCTATTGGGTTTCCAACTTTTGGGCTTCTACTGTAAATACTATAGAAGCTCCGGCAAAAGTTGCCTCGCCCCGTGGAGGGAGCCAGCCGGGGCGCCAGGTGACGTCCCTGGGCTCCAGAGCTGTAGATAGGAGTTTAAGATTTCGGCGCTTTGGGCTTTAGGGTTTAGGGCAGGGGGTTTGGAGTTTTGGGCATGTAGGGTTTTAAAGGTTAGGGTTTAGGGTTAAGGGCTTTGGCTTTACTGTAGGATCATAGTCCATAGTCGGGATCATGGTGGTTAGGATCGGATTTACGGTTTGGGGTCGAAGGCTTCGCTAAGAAGATTTGTGCCTGGTGTTACTAGATTATCATTTAGGGCTTATGGGATTGCAGTGGGTTCTGTCCGGGCTATATGAGGGTTCTACGAGAATGCTTGCCTTCAGCGGCTTGGGGCTAAAGGTCTTGTCAGGGGTTGATACTGAATTTAAACAGCATGAATTCAATGTGGCTCAGGGGCGGAGGTTTTGGGATTTCAGGTTTAAAGTTTGGGGACCGAAGATGAGTAGGCTGCGGTGCAATCAGCATCCCACCACACCCTGCAGAAAGACTCTGGCGTGAATGCCCTGCGTTCAGCAGCCGCAGGGGTCCCTTTATGGGATCGAAGCTTACGAGCTTCCTCTTCCACTTTGCAGTGATTGCGGGCTGCTTCTCGGAGATGCGTAAAGTCTCGCAGCTCATTCTTGAAAGAATTATTCCTCGACAGCAGCTAGCACTTCCCGAAAACATCGGCCTTTCTGTAATCTCAGACTGTTCAAGCGATGGTTCGATGGTAAGGGCTTCCGGAGCACACTCGCGATCCGAAACCGCGAGCGAAGCCTAGCTAAACCCTAAAAGCTCCTGAAACCCCTTACCCAGAGACCTTAATATGCCTCAATTACGGAATACACCTTAAATCCAATTAGGGGATCCTACTATAATTTAAGGAATATTCCTTAATTAAGGAATATTGGAGTCTCTGGGTACTCTCGAACAAGCTGAAATCCTGAGACCCAGACGCTCAAAGCCAAACAACACCGACCCAAGCCGGGCTACGACCGCGGAAGCCCGCCGTGGACGAAGAGAACCGGCCCCAGTCGTACAGCCAAGTGGGCCAACGAAAGGTATTCCTGCAGGCTAATGGCACTGTTAGGGCGTTAATGGGGCCTACAATTCCAGAATGGTGGGATTCATATAAGGAACCCTAATAGACGCCCCAAGGCTTCTTGATCAGGATCAAGGTTCCTACATTAGGGCTTGTGTTTTGGACTTCACTGCGGCTCAGAAAGAATTCGCTTCTTACAAGACTTCGTTAGCTGATGGTTCTGCCGTGAAAGCCGAATGGACCCCAAAACCTAATATAGGGGCGTTCATAGTTAGAATAGGGTTTCCTTTAAATGGCTCCTTCAAGGGTTTGTATGGGGGGTCGATAAGAGTACTATAATATAGGGGCCTTGAAAACTAGAACAGGGTTTCGGGGTCCATTATTTTATAAATAGAATCCAAACCCCCCAGAATAGTATTGGTAATTTTTCAGGCCCCTATAGTAGAGAATTTTTGAGGGCACGGGCTATCGAACAGTCGAACTCGACAGTTGGGGGTCTGGCTTTCATGCACTACATAAACCTAGAGGGCTTAGGGGTCGCATGCTTAGGTCTAGAGCGAAAGGGATGCAAGACTTTCCGTATAGGAGCATTCGAGGTTGGCTCTGCGATGTCAGCTTTGTGGTCTCAGGGTTTCGCGATGTGTTCGTTTAGCTAGGGTTTGGTTTAATTCTGCGGCCTCAGCCCTGACCATAAACCCCCCAAAACCTACAGCAAAATCTGGACCCAAACCGGAAAGCATTGGGGGTCTGGGGTGTTGAGAGCCGAGAATCCCCCAAACCTGCCGCTGTCGGGACCTATGAGGAGATCAGAAGAAGGAAACCCCGAAGGAAAGGGCTTTCTAGCATGAGCTTAAGCCTAGGATGCCCAGTAACCTAGGAATAGAAAGGGCTCCCTTTTTTGTATTGGGTAGCTTTATAAGGAACCTAGGACTACAAAAAGGGAATAAGGGTAATACTGGGCATCCTAGATGCTGTAATCTGCGCCCCCAGAACCCTATTCTAGCCACGACGGCCCACATTCCGGTCGTGGCCTTCTACATTCGTGTCTAAGGCTCTGAAACCCTAAACCCTAAATAACCTAAACCCTACCTGAACCCGCATTTCATCTCCCTCTTTAGGGTTGCGTATTACATTTTCTTTATAGAAGTCCTTAAAAAACGTAGGTTCTTCGGGGTTAAGGTAAGCACTAAAACCCTAAACCCTCAAGTCTAAACCCTAACACCCTAAACCCTACATACCCGAAACCTAACCCTAAAACCCTAAACCCTAAAACCCTAAACTCTAAAACCCTAAACCCTAAAACCCTAAACCCTAAAACCCTAAACCTTAACTCCACCGAGCAGCAAAGAGCAGGCCCCCAGGACTCGCTTCCTTGACCTGGGCAGCGCCCCAAACGTCCGAATGCAGAATCCAGAGAGCCCAACACCCCTTAATTAAGAAATCTAGCTTAAATCATAATATGAAGCCCCTATCGCTTTACAAGGATTCCGTCACATGTTTCTGTGAGGTGTCGCTTTGCTCTTGTGAAAGCAAGAAGACCATCAGACTCACTGATCCTACTCGTAGCTTGCCCTGTGGGGCAGTGGCTCATAAAACGATCTAGTAGGTATCGATTAGGGTATCGATTGGATATCGAATAGGGTATCGATTGCCTAGCCATATATCACACGGAAAATCTAGGCACAAATACCGCGGATCCTCATTAATCGTATCGCTGGGGGGGGGGGGGGGGGTCCTATCGCTTTCCAAGGAAATTGGCAAAATCCGACATGCCACGGTCACCCTACGCTTAACTACAATTACGGAAGTTTTGACGGATGCTCATATAAGTCCATGAACAGGCAGGTTATGTGGTGTTAAGGTAGGGCTTAAGGCTTAAGATTTCAAGAGCTGTACACTGAATGGTTATCGGCAAAACCCTACGAGTACTGTTCGCGTTTTGTTTAGAATGAGGTTTTGGGGCTCAGGATTACAAAACGATCTCACCCTCCTGTTCTAAGGTCGCAGCAAAAGGTCTTTGTGAATCCCACACTCGCAGATCGCGCGTGCAGGCATGCCACAAAGCCGAAACAAGTCCTTAGACCATAAACCCTACCTATAGTCATCATTGTAGTTCCTTCTAATGCGGTTACCAGATAGGATCCTAATTATATATTTTGGTTAAACCAGAAAAAGGAACTACAATGGAGACTATAGGTACTTTCCCTTTGCTCCAAGTTCCAACTCCAACCTAAGCCCCGAAGGGACTCCAAATCGGCATTCAACGCCAAGCCCTGTAGGCTGAACAATAACACCCTGACCTGAGGGTTCAAGTGCCCAACAATCATATACTCTGCCCCCCCCCAAAACAAACGGATAGGCTACATTCCTACTATCCCAAACCCAAGGACTTGTTGGGTCCTTCGGACCCTTAGAGTGTGAGAGCCCGGTTTTGCAAAGCCATGGGGTAGGGTTGTCGCGAACACTGCTCATGGGTTGAAGGCTTCCCCTACGGGTCCAACAGTTGATGATAGAAATCCTGCATTACCTTAAGGACCCTAAACTATGGGAATTATGGTGTATTCCTTATTATGGGTAATGCAGGATTTATATCATCAACCGTAAGTCCATAGGGGCTTTTACCATAAGGACCCTAAACTATGGGAATTATGGTGTATATTCCTTAGCCCTAAACCCTGTCGATGTGCTTTTTCGGACCCCCGCTCGCATGGGAAAATTTGCCTTTCCACCTGTTCGGAGTGGCTCGGCAAGACATCCAAAGGGGAAAAGGAGGGACCCTAAAAGGGGGGACCCCTGGGTCCCTATAATGGGCTGCAGAAGAATGGGTATATAATAGCTATATTAAGGGTATATACCTAGGGGTCCTTATTAAGGGTCCCTCCTTCTACCCTTGGATACAACTTCCTCCAACGGTTGATGACATAAATCCAGCATGACCCACTATGAGGAATATACCAAAGTTCCCATAGTTTAGGGTCCTTAAGGTAATGCAGGATTTATATCATCAACCCTAAACCCTTAACCCTAAACCCCCTATAGATCCCTTAAGGAGCCCCTTAAAGGTACCCTTATAGATCCCTTTAAAGGAACCCTAGGATTTATATCATCAACCGAAGCAGCCCTAAATCCTAAACGTTAAACCCTGATCGAATGGAACATCTGGACCCACGCAAAATCAACGTAACACTCTTCAAACACCTTTTCGAACCTTAAAAACCTTTTAGAAAGCCCTTACATGATGTTAGCCACCAATTCCGAAACCAGAAACCAATCCCAATCCGCACTCAGAAGGGGATCTTGCCGTCGTAAACCGGCTCACCCGGATTTCGCATGAAGTGATACGGAGACCGGATGCCATCAGAGCCGTAGTAGTACCTGGGATTACTATAGGGCCTTAAGAATTAGAATAGGGTTTGGGGGCCATTATACTACAATCATAAGAAGGAACCACCACCATAGTATTGGTAATTCCAGTAGTACCTGGCAGCAAGGGTTTCTTTTTTAGAGTTCAGGGGCTTTCGGGATTTCAGCACACGGCCAACTTTGTGAAGCTCTGGACGTTGGGGCTTCAGCCAGCAGCCGGTGAAACACAGGGCAGCATCTTGGATCCGGCGACATACCCCCAGAAACCATAAACAGCCCTAAAGGTTTAGGGTTTAGGGGTTTAGGGTTTAGGGTTTAACTCCATCCAAGGCACCCGTTGCCCTCCAATGGCTTCAGCAGGCAGTGCCGAATAGAGACGGTCCCCTCCTATCAAGATCGATGCTGGCATGACTACTTGGAGGTTCATGGGTAGCTATAAGTGGGGTTATAAGCAGGGTAACTATATGTATAGTTATAACCCCTGGTAGGGGACTTGTAACCCCATTTATAACTACCCATGAACCTCCAAGTAGGGCTTCGGGATCGAGGACCCCGGGGCTTGTAGGGATTTAGGGTTGCAGGTCATGTGCCCGAACCCTGAGCCGCATCACCCGGACTCTAGGCCCAGAGCCATGAGCCAGTCCAAGTCAAAAAGCAAACAAACAAACATCAAACCCTGAATCCTAAAATCCTACATCCTAAATCCTGAATCCTAAAACCCTAAACCCTATATCCTAAATCCCTAAACCCTAAATCCTGAACCCAGAAACAGAGACAGCCCGAGCTGTTGCCTCGGGCGTCTTCGTGGCGCCCCAGCCCTTGACGATGGCGGTGTCTATGAAGCCGGGCGTGCAGCCTATGCTCCAATCCAAGGGTAAAAGGAGGGACCCTCAATAAGGACCCCTAGGTTTTCACCCTTAATATAGCTATTATATACCCAGCAAATAGCCCATTATGGGGTAGGGGTCCCCATTAAGGGCCCCTCCTTGTCCCCTATGCTCCAAGATTGGGGCTCTGGTCCAAGAACTTGAATTTACAAGTTCGCAGGCTCGGTGTATGCGGGAAATAGAAAATCTTTCCTTACCCTGCTAACTGGTAAGATTGACTTACGGTCCTTACAACCCGGTACACCCGCTGTAAAACCCTGATAGCAACGGTTTTTTAGCCCATATACATTCTCTCGAACATACACCTGAATAATGACCGTAAGATCCCTTAAAATTCCTCAGTCCTCACATAGAAATTTCGTTACACCCCAGGCCTCGATTCTGCCCAAAGAAGCCCCCCACATTACGCACGCGAACCTTGATTAAACAACTCCCATCACAATCAGGGGGTCTAACCCTTACCAAGGGCTCATGACAACTTGATTCTAGCGGATAGCCCTCACAAATCGGCTCTCGGATCCCCAAGCAAGGCCCCTAAACCCTAAACTCTAAACTCTAAACCCCTAAACCCTAAACTCTAAACCCTAAACCCTAAACTCTAAATCCTAAACCCTAAACCCTGAAGAGCCGGCAGATCGAAGACTCCGCCGGGAATCCCGAGATTAAGCAAAGGTGCCCCCTTGTAGGAATCAAAGGGATGCCTTTAAGGATCCTATAATTTATCGGGCTTCCTTTACGGGTTCCTTCAAGTGTTCCATAATTTATAGGGGTTCCTTTGGTGGTTCCATAACTTCTGAGGGTTCCTTCAAGGGTTCCATAACTTCTAAGGGTTCCATAATTTATCAGGGTTCCTTTAAGCGCTCCTTTGGAGGAGGCCCCCTTAAATGAGCCCTTAAAGTACCCCTTCAGGGCTTGGTGGTTGCTGCTTCAGGTGCGAGTAATCGTGTCGTTTCGTGTTAGACAGGGATGAATAGGTTTCTTTCGAAATTGATCGGGAGCTGTAGACTATCGCATTTAAGAGCCCTTGGCTTCTGAAGGTTCAGCGTCTAGGGTTTCAGTTCCCTTGCCAAATATGGAGGGCCCAAGCCCGAAATCCTACACGCAAAAGGATTTGTGGTTTAGGGTATATGGTCACTTTCATGGCACGGATGTTGATGCATGTTCTGGGAGTCTAGGCCGTTTCACAAAGGACAACCCGTCCAGAACCCTAAACCGCGAGCTCGCAACCCTCCCGTTGAAGCCATACTTCTAGAGGCGTGTGAAAACGCTGGAACCCGATACCTGAAACTACCCAACACTTTAGAACCCAAGCCTACGTCCTATGTACAGCCCAAAGCCCTGAGCTAAAACGTTAAGGTCCCAGAACCCCACGCAAGCATTGTACAACTCTATCAACTAAAGCCCAGTAACATGAAGAGAGGATGTTCGGGTGGAGCTTTCCAAGGAGCTGCGAATAAGCCGACAGGAGTGCCTTGGAACAGCCTGCGGTTGTGGGATGGCGCCTTGATAATTAGAATGGGGTTTGGGGGTTTACTATACGATATAGTAAGGCACCCTAAGCATAATATTGGTCAAAATTAGGCTTCCATACTATGGGGTTTGGGGTCAGGGAGTCAATCGGCCTAGGGCTAAACGTCAAGCAGCCTAGGGCTTGCAGGTAAACGACGCAGGTGCTACAGGAAGCCGATGGCACATTATGCAAAAACTTCTAATAAGGATTACTAATGTTATATACATATGTATACATAGAGAGAGAGAGAGAGAGAGAGAGAGAGGCTACAGCCAGGCTACACTCTGAAGGACAACTCGAAACCCGATCGCTGTAGCAGGGATGCATCAGGTTCCGGAAGTACATCGAGCTTTTTCCGGCGGTCTTAGGTTGCCCGCCTTAGCATTTAGCTTTAATTCATTAGTGGGCTTGGGGTGCAAGACTTAGCTTTTCAACAGGAGTCCAGCTTCGGCAGTTCAACCCTTTTCAGCTTGCACCTTGCACTTGGGGTCAAGATGCTGCACCCTCCAAATGAACACGCCGAGCAGCAATTACGCCCCCCCCCCCCCCCCCCCCCCCCCCCCCCCGCGTACTCTGAACTCCATCGCCCTCAAACCTAAACGCTGCAGGCCCAACCCTACCCCGAAGGGTCCATGTACCCAAATAGCATATACTTTGGCAATGAAGCACTCCCTATAATAGGTACATTGGGACCAAAGTATATACTAATTGGGTACATGGAGCCGTCTATACCCCCAAATATCCCTAAACTCCATGGTACCCTTTAAAGGAACCCTTAAAGGAACCCTAAAAGGAGCCCTTAGACTACGAAAAGAGAGGCCGATGCAGCACGGCAGCCGTAGGGTCCAGAAGCAGAGCGGTCCTCGGCTGTTCAACCATCCTTTAAGGGTTTAGGGTTTAGTGGTTAGGGCTTTAGGATTTAGGGGTTTAGGGTGTAGGCTTTAGGGTTTAGGGGTTTAGGGGTTTAGGGAAGAATGGTAGCAACCTTTGGTTAGGAGGGAATGGAAGAGTGGTAGTAATAGGGTTTAGGGTTTAGGGTTCAACTTACCTGTGGTTAGTGGGAATGGAAGAATAGTAGTTAGAACTGTACCCAAACCCTCCATTCACTGCTAACCAAAGGTAAGTCAAGAGCCAGCATGTGGGAGTTTCCTAAAGTTAGGGGCATTTGTTCTTAGGGTCCTTAAACTTCGAATCCTTCCATTGAGGGTACGTCCGGGTACGTTGTTAGTGTCCCCTGTTTCGGAAACTCCCATGCACCTGTCTGATAGGCATCCGGAAATAGAACTCCAGAAGCAAGTTATAGAGACACTGAACATAACTCAACACAAACATCCTGAACACACAACCTTGATGCACCCTTAAAGAAAGAGACCCCATAGAGAGGCTCTTCCAGAGAGGAAACCCTTTCACTAGAAGCCCAAAAGTTGGAAACCCAATAGCCTCGATCCTTGAGAGCAATTCATAGGGAATCCCAGCACTATTTGGCCTTATTGGGTTTACTGTAACCCCGAAGAATCCCAAACTTAAGATCTCCAGATTTCAAGCCGTTAACTGTTAACTCCGCAGAGAACAGTTCGAAGCCCTCATTTTGCAAAAAATGAATGAAACTGGAATCCGAACACCTGACATGGTGAGCTGATGAAACATGGTGTGGTGGCAGATTTTAGCATACTTGTCTAGCTCATGGTTGGGATAGTATTAAAAGTTTACATTGTTATTCATTATTGGGTTTAAGTAACCATAAAAATGTAAAATGTTACCCAACGATGGCACAGTTGTATGCAACTCTCAGCGGGCATTCTCATAAGTTGTGCCTAGACCGCATAAAACTCCTGTCAGCTCTTAGTGACCAGCAGCCAGCAGTAAGGGGAATATTGCTACAACGAGTTGAGCCTTCCAAATAAATATGGACCCTTGCTTCATGACCTCCCTTACCGTAGTAACTGTGCAAGCCGGATATATCCTCTCCAGGAGCCCTAAAAACCCTAAAATAACAAACAAAGAATAAACACCTCAACCCCGAACCCACCCTAAACTCTAAACCCCGAACTCAAAGCCCCAAGCCCTCAACCCTTAACCCAAAACCTTGAAACCGGGGTAGGGGGGCATGACCCCCTAGGTAAAGAACCCTAAACCCAAAACGTAAGGCCTAAACCCTGAACCCTCATAAGTACAGAGCCCTTGAAAGTGTAGAGCCCTTATAGAAACCATTCAAAGCAGCCCTGAAATATAATCCATATCAAAAAAGACCCTTAACTTAAAGACCCCTTCGGTAAACCATTATGGGGATGGATGCTCCTTTGGGACCTAATTCCATAATGGTAGTATGTCGGATATAGAACCCAAAAAGACCGCTTCGGCGCTCTACAGCCCAAAGGGTCTCGACGTACAGAGGGGGCCTTGATGGGTTCTATAACCCAGAGGGTCCATGTATATCTGATATATGTGGCTTTTTTCCAATTACGGAATTACGTCGTTTCTTCAGCCGTGGACCCACCGGGTTATAGAACCTTTAATAAAGACCCCTTAAGTACGGCTGAAGAAACGCCCTAGTTCCACAATGGTAATGAATCCGGACCCTCTGGGTTATAGAACCCATACAAGCCTCTTCTGTACGGCTGAAGAAACGCCCAGAGGGTCCAAGCACTCCCTATTATAAGATTTCAGGGGCCTTTTAGGTATCTAAAAACTACCTTAACCCCAAAAAACCTGCCTTTTCAAGGACTTATCTAAAGAAATCATATTAGGAAACCCTAGAAAGGTAGGTTCTTTAGGGTCCGGGTAAGGACTACTTGGACCTTTTAGTGACGAGGATCCTCCAGGAACTCTTTCCTCGCGAGCTCTGACTTGGCCAGTGCCTTTGCGGCTTATCGGCTTAGGGTTTAGGGCTTCTTCAGGGCATTTGACGATGTCTTAACTCAGGGATTTAGGGCGTTGAGGGATTTAGGACTTTTGGTGTTTGGGAGATACTTTATGGGGTTTCGGGCGTTTGGGGTGTAGGGGTGTGTAGGTTTCGGGGGTTGTGGTGGCTTTAGGTGCTTTAAGATTTAAACTTGTTCCGTGTTTTGCGGATGAGAGCTTTGCTTCTTGGCATCAAGCGTTTATTTGCCGCTGACGACTGAAAGACTTGGCGATTTAGGATGTAAACATCTGTAAACATCTCATTAAAAGGCCCCGAATGTGCAAATACAACAAAATATACCCTTGGAGTCTGAAGTCCACAAAGCTTGGAGTCTCACGGTTTCTGATACCCAGATAAACCTGGAATATGAGATGTAAACGTGGAACTTCAAAACACCATTCACCACGGACCCTGTAAGACTGCAGAGACCTAACAATCACAGGTGCACTTAGATATGTAATCAAAACATTATGTAATAAGAGATGGAAAGAAAGTCTTTCGAATACTGACCACGTTCCTACACTCAGGTGCCTTGAGACCGGTAAAGTTCTTTGGACCCTCAGAAACAGCTCTAATACAGCGGCCTAAACGTTTAGCCGATTTGGAGGTTCGTTACAGATTCGTTACACCATGAATATAATAGGAAGCTTGAAGAACGGTATAAGCCTGCATACTGGTTCCAAACCCGCCAAACCCCTGAACCCTAAACCTCCAACCCAAAAACCCCAACCCTGGACCTCTGCACTCTACATATAACCCCAAACAACGAACAACCCTGAACCCTAAACCCCAAAGAGAAAACCCCTAAATCCTAAACCCAAAAACTCTATAAACCCTATAAACCCTAAGTCCATATCATAGTACCATTACAAAGCCATTATAGGAGCCCTTAAAGGAACCCTAGAACCTTAAGAAACTGTGTGGGCCTTGATAATTAGAAGAGGGTTTTCGGGCCCATTACACTGTAAGTCTCTATATAGTATAATGAGGAATAATAAAAGCAATTCTCAAGGTGCCTATGTTATAGTAGCCTTGTAGCGTCCCTTGTAGTAACCCGTACAGACCCCTGTAATTAAGGCCCCTATATTAACCCTAAGTGAACCCGTGGGCCTCCAACGGATCGAAGCTCTCCGGGCAGCTGCACAGCATCCGCGCTCGCTCGGTGTCACTGCTGAGCGCTGCCTTCCTCAGCTTCACAGAGGGCTGAGCAGGGTTTAGGATTTAAGGTTTACGATTTATGGGCTTAAAGTTAGGGTTTAGGTTTAGGGTTTAGGGACGGTTGAAATCCTGTGCTACCTTAAAGACCCTAAACTATGGGAAGCAGTTTATTGAGTGCATGCTCTGTGGGCTATGGTACCCACGCAACGAGAATCATCTCAGTCCGAACCTCAACTTTCGATCCGCAACTTGGTGCGTTTGGTCTTGTGCTCATTGGCTCGGGGGGCTAGCGACCACTGCTTCGGATTTGGTAGTTAGTTACGATCCTCGAGTCTTGATCCTTTCCGATCAGTTCCCCGTCCAACCGGGAAGTTCTTGGAGAGAACCCTCACAAGACACAAGACGAAGCTCATAATCCTCCTTCCGCGGAATGCCGTTTTGGCTGATGTCTATACTTCCACGACATCCTCCGACGCCTCTTCGGCCGATGGAAAGAGGGTCAGTGGAATTGAGCTCCTATCTTCTGACTTGTCTGGGATGTACGCGGAACTGGTAAGGAAACGCGCGGGGCTCCAACATGATGGACCTGCTGCTCCTTGCGAACGCCCGAGCGCACTTAATGTCCTCAGCAGACACCGACTGTACCCAAAACGGATGACGATTTTCGGAGAAGGTCGTCTGGTAGTTCAGAAGACAATCGGAACTGAGGTCGAGTCTGTCATGGACGGATCGTTTAGTCAGCTCTTTGTACCGTTACAGATATATGGCCGCCATCTGACGTTGAAAGGTGGAGAAGAAAACCTCCAGCCCTGGTGGGGCAGAGACACCGGGTCCTCCCAGCTCCGTTGGGCAAAAGACGTTCAGCAACCCGTTTCTGGAGTCGCGAGCGATTTCGTCACGATAGAGCCACACCGCACGCCACCAAGTTCTTTCCGGGTTCTTCGCCGTCGAGAGGCACGAACTCAGCTTGACAGTCCAGCGCATGACCTGGTAGTCGACGCGTTCGCCTAGAGCGCCGTTCGTCTCCCGGGCACGTTTGCCACTGTAAGGAGACCAGGGTTGAGATAGCCCAACTTCCTGAAGGTCACTTCCCCAGCTGTCTCAGAGCGAATCCAGCCTTCGCTGTTTGCTGCGAGGTAAGTGGGGTGCACGTAGGACTTGCTGACACTGAGCGTGAAACCTACTTGCTGCACCTTCTCCTCCCAGATCTCGTGAAATCTCTTGCATGTCGGGAAGAGGACATCATCACCATTGATGAGGGCCGCAATGTCTTCGAAAGGCACTGACACGTGGTAGCCCGAGCACCTTCCAGCCAGGCCTCCACTGCCTCCCACAAGCCTACGGCATTGATTGCAGATAACTGCGGGAACGATAGGGGTGAGCCCATGAGCTGGCCGTTAGACATCACGAAGACCTCCACTTCATCGTCGGGATATGAGATGCGATGCGGACCCATGACGACGTCAACAAGGCGCTTGTGGAACTCGTAGTTCCGGTTCTTGCCATGGCGGATCGATCGCAGATATCCACACATGGACATCTGGCTAATCTCGCGGCTAAGACCATCAGTAGCAGCCTTGTAGTCGCCTGAACAATAAAAGGTCTAGAACGCGTCGGCCTCCGAGGTACTTCTTCTCGAACCTTCGTGCCTTCTTCCACATCCCTTCGAGGCGGCGATATTGCAACGGTTCACCGATAAGGCGAAAGGCTTCCTTGCGACGAAGGTGATTCCAGCTGTCGCGCTGGAGTTTCTGTGCTGCGACATAGGGTAAACCAGGACCCTTGGTTATATGATCCGTGCTTTGAGCGACTCAAGGATGACCGCAACTTTAGCATCAGGATAACTGTGACCCCTGGTCTGTCTAGCAGCCTCAGCGATGGGGGTATATTCGGGTATCTTTGGCAGAAAGTCAAACTCGTCAGTCTGATCTCTCACCTCCCTCCCGAAGTCACGGATCCGCTTGGTCTTGCGGCCTACTGCGCGCGTACATTCGGCACATGCGTTGAATCCTGGATGGATTGGCTCCGAATCATTCGGGACAACGGCAAGTTTCCTGCGGACCCGACACTTGACTCCGTCATCGTCGTATCCTTGATACAAGGTAGCTTCCGCTTCCCATTCATCCCCACGTGCCCATGGAGCAATGAAGCGGCTGGTCAACCTGATCGTATCCGGTTACGTGAACTTTGGCAGCTCCTTCGTGAGTGCTGCTCGGTGCACCTCCATGGACGCATGGGCGAAGTCCTCCGGAACCACAGGCAGCCGCTTTGCTGCCTGCAGTAAGGCCCAGAACACAGTCAAGGGTCTCTCACTGACTCTTCATCAGGCACTTTGGGCGCGGATTTTCCCTTTCCAGGGTAGGATGTTTGGGGTCCACCATGCATCTCCCACCAGGCTAGAATGGTGTCGGGCACCGGCGGCAGTTCCTGTCTCAGGAACGCTGCAATTGGTGCGCACACGACCCACTTCGCAATCGACACGGCATCCGCCGGCGAATTCGCCAAGGTCATCAGGTGGAAGAAATCGGAAGGGAGTTGATCTGCGGTCCCCATGAGCTTACAATAGAGTGCATCAGCATCGCTGAGTACATCGTGTATTGCCCGGACCAGACAAAAGGTGTTGTGAGCCTTCCAAAGCCCACTCTCACCTTCCCACCCGGTTGCCCAGACCTCCTGCAACGGTTGAACTGCTACGCCGAAAAGCGAAAGCAGATCTTCCACACTAGGGAGTTCTGGGGCTGAACTGCCGTCAGCTCGCCGGTTACGCTGCCAGGCCAATGCAGGATTTATATCATCAGCCGGAGGGCTGAGAATGTTCTTCCTTGTTTGAGGTTTATTGTGGGTTTAAGGTTTTAGGTTTAAGGCTAAGCTTTGGGGTGTAAGGTTCGGCTTGGGGTTTAGGGGTGTAGAGTACAATTAATGTAATGTTTGGGGTTTCGGGTTACACGTTTTCGGCTCATAGGAGGACTAAGCTAAACACTCAACCTTCAAGCCTGGCCCGTTGTAGTCCGGGCATCACGTACATCGGCCCGGCACCGGAACCCACGTTGACAATGCGTCCGTCCGACGGGGACAGCAAAGGCAAGAAGGCCTGTCAGGACATGGTCAGGTTGAAGGACAAAACCGCGAAACATTAGGGCTTCTCGTCTGATACAGCCCCGAAGGCACCATTTACCTAGAGAGCGTATACTTAGGACTTAAGTACCTATATAGGAGCCCCTGTATGTCTTAGGGGAATATATTCGGTGTCAACACAGAACCCTGAACAGCTAGGAAGCTTTTGGGGCATCTGATGACATGAGAGTCGGATTCGGAGCCAGTACATTTATCGGCTTAAGGGTTCAGGAGTTCAGCGGTTTAGGGAATTAGGGTTTAAGGTTGTGCAACCAAGCGCACAACGCCCGGGAGGGGTTGAGGGGGGTGGGGCAGGCGGTGCAACATATCGTCGGTTTGTCTGCAGCGCAAACCCTAAAATGATTGAAGTAAACTTTACTCCCGAAACTCTAAACCCCTGAAAGCCAAAACGCTGGTAAAGGGAACTTATTAATTAGAACAGAGTTTTGGGGCCCTTCATACCACAAATAAATACAACAAGGAAGCCCCCTCAAAAAAAAACAAGAAAATAGTATTTGTAACTATTTAGGCCCCTATACTTAAACCCCCAAACGACAGGCTTTGATCCTGAATATCAGGCTTTGGGGATTTTTTCGTGTAGGGTGGGCTTTCTCGAAGGTCCATTCTGAGGACTTCGAGAAGTGCTCTTAATAGGTTTACGGTTGGGGGCTAGGGCGTTAAATCTTTAAATCAGTACGTGCTAGGGATGGAATGTAGGATGCAGAATGAAGAACATTCGCCTGTATTCACATCATCTGTGCCAGTACAGCAAAACAGAGGCGGGGAGGTGACCGAGGGAAGGAAGTGCACACGGTTGATTTGATACAACTACAGGACAATTCACTCTACATCTTCAAGCCACGCGTCATGCATGGAACCCCTGAGAAACGAGGGATGCAATATGATAAACCTAGCAAGAAGACCTGTGCCGAAAAAGTCTACCTAAATTTCAATTGCCTTGAGACCACAACCCTAAAACCAAACGGTGAGGCCCTAAGCCCTAGGCCCCAGATGAATGATCCTGAAGCCAAGAACCCACAAACCATCAACCTCATATAAAACCAAAAGCCCCATGTCAACTCCAAACCATCGCTTGTAACCCAGCAATCCTAAACCCTTCCTCCTTAGATTGAGGGCTAGACTCTGAAAATCGAAACTTTGTAAACCCAAGGTCTTGGACTCTAAACACCCATTCGCCCCGAGAAAACAACATTTTCAATATGTGTACAATACTATCTTCTCTGATTAGAACTAATCCGTTCAACAGTTAAATCCCCAAGACAAAGGCAGGACAGGCCTCCACCATGCGCTTGGGACCATAGAAGTTCACGTTCATGATCTCTGCGCCTCGGTGAATCTGCAAAACGCTTCCATCCGCTCGGAGCTGTCCGGGGGACCCCCAGTACCCCTTAATTAAGGAATATACCTCAACTTATTAGGGGCTTAAATTATGATTTAAGCTATACTCGGTAATTCAGGGATATTGAGCTCTCTGGGTGAGCTTAAGAACACCCCAAGCCCTAAACCATATCAGAAGGACATGCATATAAGAACACAAAGGGGACCAAAGTGTAAGAAGGCGGTGTTGGGTGTGTGCACCTGTCGCGCCGCCTACAGCCTGAACACTACATCTTCCCAGTTTGTTTACCTTAACCCGGGTTAACCTACCTTTTTAAGCACTTAATTCTTATATAGGGAAATCATAACGAGGGACTCTAAAAAAAGGCAGGTGATTCAGGGTTTGTTTAGGGTTAAGGGTTTGGGGTTTAGGGTTTGCTCCCTCCGCAAGCCACACCTGCAAGCTTGAACACAAGAAATGCCAAGGCACCTGTGGTGCCATGCTGCAAACCGGTTCCGGCATTGTTCACCTGAGCGAGGGACTGGGTTCTCCAACACAGATCTCTATTTATTTTGAAGCACCATAACCTGATTTACTCTCAAGTCACTAAAACATATGCCTTGCAGTCTTGCAAGGTCTTGTAAGGACCCACAGCAAGTAGGATATAGCAGCTTCAAGATGCTTCAAGCGAGTCTAGACTGTAGAGCTCATGCACGGTTGAGACAAGTTGGGCGCCAAGTCGCGACACCGTAGAGGCTTTCTCCTGCTGGCAGGGACGCCTGGCACAACATTGCGGTTTTCTTTCGGGCTGAGGTCTCGGGCTTGATTTCAAAACTTAACCCTCAGGCAACCATGACTACTCCTTGGGCCCACATGCCCCTGACACATGAGTCCTCCTCCGAGCCTTATAATAAGAAAAACCCTCAATCCCCAGGCCCCGAAGCTTCTCCACACCTATGGAAGGCTTCCTCATGAGGATTGGTACTGTCAGGGTCCGAAAAGTCAACAAACCACAAAAAACAAAGCAAGTCAGCCAAAACTGAGAAAAAAACAACTACAGATGAACAACTCAATATGGCTAACGCAGAGAAACGACTCCAGGGGAATTTCAGACACCAGCGATCGCGGTCCTTGAGGCAGACCTTTAGCAACTAAGAGGATGAAGGGGTTCATAAGGAATTTTCTCCAAGTGTGTTGCAAAGGTCCTCAAACTTACCTTTGGTTAGTAGGGAATGGAGGAATGGGGTACAAGTATAGCTACTATTACTACAATTCTTCCATTCCCTACTAAGCAAAGGTAAGCAAAGGGAGGGACTTTGGAGTTGAGAGAGTTCAGCCGTCAACTTGGGGTCTAGAACCCCGCAGCCCTCAGCTAGCAACCCAAGCTACAGAGCCCGACTAAAAAGCCTGCCGCAACTGCTAAGCTGCTAAGCCTTGCAGGGTTAGGGCTCACGGCTTGGGCTCTAGCGTTAGCTAACCCTGAAACACCCACGTAAGTTCCGTCAAGGCTTCACAAGATACAGAAAGAGCAACCATCGCTCAAACGAGCCGTTGAAGTTGCATCGCAGCTCAAACCCTGGACCACAAACCTTGCTTGAGAAACATAAACTCCCATGCCCTTCAAACCCCAAACCCACAGCCCTAGCCTCAGAGTGTCGAGACAAGAACCCTTGTGGCTGGGCTCAAACCCCAGATGCCTCCTCCTTGAGAGTCAAGCCCCAAAAACCGAAATGCGAAACCCAAACCAAAGACCTGATAAGCTCTGAACCCTAGGCCCTCGCCCAAAACCGAAAAGGGCCGTTGAACCCCAGATTCCAAGCCCAAAAAACATATCTCTAAACCCCATGCCCTGAACCCAAGCCATCAAAAGTCCTTAAACCCTAAACCCTAAACCCTCTAAACCCTCGGCCCTGAACCCAAACCATCAAAAGTCCTTAAACCCTAAACCCTAAGGAACCCTAAAGGGCCGACCGGCGACGCGAGCCTTGACTGCCTCAGCCGCCTTTGCCACCGACTCGTCCGAGGCCGTGTCCACCTGGAGCACCTCCACCTCCAGGGCCGCTTGGTGTTTAGGGTTTAGGATTTACCGTTTACCCTTAACCCTAAACCGGGTTAGGGCTTCGGGCTTTTCAGCGGTTTAGGATTTAGTTGGGGTTTAGGGCTGCCGGGCTGCTGTTGGCCATGGAAACTGGTAGCTGTAGGCGGTTGTGCGGGGCTTCGTGTTTCTGGCTATGTTTATCGTTGTAGCCACGGTTATAGGTATGGTGACTTATATACTTGGGTGTTCAGTCCACTTGGAGGTTGTCAACCCTAGACCCGGCAAAACCTGCAGCGGGTTTAGAGCTGTGCATCTGACCGAAACGTTCAAGTCGACTTCGGAAGTAGGGCTAGCCGTTGGGGTTCACGGGTGCAGGCCGTTACGGCGATCAGGGATAAGGGTTTAGGACAATGGCTTAAGCGGGTTCTCATAGATGTCTACCGGAGGTTGCGAAAGTAACTTACTCGATTCTACATGGTCAAGAGCTTCAAGCGACCGTCGCTGTAAGAACTCGGCGCGGAGTTAAGAGCGTCGGGGGTGACTCATACATACCCCGTGGACAGAAAGCGGACTACGAGAGTACGGTTAACAAGCGCTAACTACGTAAAACCCGTTTCAAGACAACGCTTACACTTGATTCTTGTTTTACGAAATGTCGCCTGAGTGACAGTACGGACCTGACTATCAAGGTACTCAAGGAAAGCCTAGAAATTACCTATATGTGTATATATATATATGTATAAATATATATATATATATATATATATATGTTATAACCTCACCTAGAACTACCCATGAACATTCTTGCAGCATCCTTCTGCTGAAGATTCAGACCTGTTGGGCGGCTACCAGACCTAAGTCTATCTGATGTTTTGGGGGTGCTGATACTGGAAATCCTGGCAGCTTCAGGGTATTATAAAGTCAGGTCAATTCTTTTGTGAAAGTGAAACGGTTTAGGGGACTACGGGTTCAGGGTTTAGGGTTTAGGCTCCAAGTTCTGAAGCTCCCAATAGCGGGGGGGTTGTCTTGACATGATGTGTGCTGTTCTCGGCTGCTTAGTTAGATTGTCATACCCTGCCGATCTGTCGAAAGTACCTGTTGTCTGTGGTGAAGATTCTAAGCATCGATCGGAAAAGTTAGGACCTCTTATGCAAACAAATACCTCGGAACCTCATTTCTCAAAATCCCAAACCTCAAGCCATTAATCAGAACTTCCGACCACCTCAAACCCCGAAACCCTCAAACCTTAAACCTCAATTCAACCTTCAGTCCGCAGCCCTACCAGCACCCTCCCCATATACCCTTTAACAGAGCCCTTGTCGTCGTTGATCGTGGGCATTTCGGGTATAATAGAGGGTATAGTTGGGGGATGTTGGTAAGCTCAAAACCCTAAACCCTAAACCCTGAGCCACCTTTCCCTTGCACTCCGGCGCGGAAGAGACGATGGACGCTAGGGCCTGAGATCTGAGAGTTCATGGTTCAGGTTTTAGGGTTTTAGGGTTTCAGGGGTTCGGTTTTAGCCTTTAAGGGTTCAGTGTTTAGGTCTTTAGGGTTTTGGGGTTTGGGTTTAGGGCTTATAGGGTTTAGGATTGAGGGTTTGATGGTTTAGGATTTAGGGTTCAGGTTTTCTGGCTTGGGGTTCTAGACTGCTGAGGGGCTCTCTTTAAGACTGTGTTCGCAAAATTGTGCTTTGGTGGGGTTCCTGTTTTTTCTGCAGAAACGTTCAGTAATATTTATCTTGTTTACGCCTTGATATTTGCGTGCCCGATGTCTGAAACTCCCACATAGCCTTACGTGAGAGATCCGTCTGAGCCTTTTGGCATAATTTACGGTTCTCGGGCATTTAGATTTAGGGATACGATGAAGGGTCAGCACATTTTACTGTAACGGTTCAGAGTTTATAGACTTTGCTTTAGGGTTTAGGGTTTTAGGTGAAGGCTGTTAGTTACTTGCGGCCTACAGGTAAGCTCCAAAGGCCTACAAAACAGGACTTTATACTGTGACCTCTTAGGTGTGGGATAGAGCCCTTACAGTCGATTGTAGGTTCTCGGAGCCACAAGCAAAGATGTAGAGCCTCAAACCTTGACCACATCTAAACCCTCAGCCGTACTGTAAACTCTAACTCGCAAGAGCTTTATGGTGTCCCATCAAGCAGTCCAGGGAATCCTACATAGTTGTTTAAACCTGAACACTGTGGGAACCTACAGTTGTAGGGTGCCTTGTTTGCCGGTTCCCTTTTATATATCTTCCTGAAGAAGACATGTCTGGCTACAGGTACGGTTGATGATATAAATCCTGCATGACCCATAAGAAGGAATATACCATAATTCCCATAGTTTAGGGTCCTTAAGGTAATGCAGGAGTTATATCGTCAACCGTAGTTTCTGAACTCGGCTCCCTGAACCTTGTACTCGAAATCCTCTGCCGGATCTATGTCCAGAACGGCTAGAATTTTGTGCGCGCCCGATGCATCTCAAACCCACTTCCCGATGCATCTCAAACACCTGGAAGACCCTTTCAGAGAGCCTACTTAAACCCGAAAGCGTGTAAATCCTGATCCCCAAATCCGAAACTCCCTGATCAAAGACTCCTTACACAGAACCTTAAACTCGAAATCCTGTAAATCCTTAGCCTCCAAATCCAAAACTCCCTAAACCCTGAACCCGAAGCCCCAAAGCCAGAACTCCCTAAACAATGTAAACCCTAATCCGTAAGCCCCAAAACCAAAACTCCCTAATCAAAGGCTTTCGCCTTCTCACCCTTCTCGACGTTGCGAGATCCGAGGTAGACCTGATTCCAAGCCCCAAAATTGGGTTCTTGTTTCGGAATTGAGCTGAAGTTGCCATAATGGGGATCGATAGTAGAGAAAATGGTTTCTCGATAATCCCACAGGGTCAAGATGTATTACTAGCATGAAATTAGGTCCCGAATGACCATCCCCGCTACGTATGGTTTTTGGGGCCCTGCTTCCATAACAGTAGTGTATAACGACCCTCTTGGAAAGCAAGACTGCCGGGGTTTAGGGGTTTAGGATTGCAAAGCATGACCCTGGCTGTCGGGCGCCCTAATCCTAATCCCAACCCAGAGGTCGGAAGAAGTGGCAATCGTATGTAACCGTGTCCCTCTGCAAGCCGGTCTACAGATGCTGGGCTTTGAAGTAGCCAGGGAGAAAAAAGTATAGACTTTTATGTCATACGGGTTCCTTTTAAGTAGCAGGTCCCCCAAAAGTATTAAAGTATGATACTCCAAAGCCCAGGATGTATATGTAATATGCAAACTACAGCAATACCCCAAAGAACGGTTCTAATTATGAAGTCTTGAGCCCTGAAAGTTCCGAAACAAGAACTGTAGACTGGGTTCCTATACAGTAGAAGCCAGAAAGTTGGAATATCGTTGTCCTCATGCCCTTATGGTAAAGTAGAGGGAATCCTAGCACTAATCGTCCTGAATCCATGTTCCAACTTTTTTGGGTTCACTACGGTCTTCGGGAAGATGCAGCATGCGATTCGCTTCTTGGACTTCTGCCCAGCATGCCTTCATTGATTGCAGGCTTCAAAAAGTTGGAGGTCGCATTTAGGGATCCTTAAAACAAGGATGCTACTCTTCGGGTTCTGCATTCGGGTCGCCCAGTTTCGAAAACTCCCCGCTAAACACCCTTGTGCAAACCCTATGGTGCTTGGGATAGCCCGCACCATGGTAGTTCTCATTGTGCTTTTGGCTTCACATTACGACTACACTAAGACATGCTTCCTGAACCCTAAACCCTGAACCCTACGCCTTAAATCCTGAACCCATTGCCTGTCTGACTGTTGCAGCCAAGAGGCATAACATCCGTCCTCTTGGGCCAGCTGCTTGCCTTCTAGGGTGTACGATTTGAGCCACTTTCAAGCTCAGGGCTTTAGGGTGCAGGCTTTTGGAGTTTGTTTTTTTTTTAGTGGGACCTTGTGCTTGTGTTTCTAGTGCCAATGGCACGGCATCTTGCTCTTCAAAGATCGACACGGACGGTGCTAGGATTGCCCGCGTCGGCTAGTAGTGATTCCGATCATCGTCGTCGTCATCGTCACCGTAACGATCGTCCTTTCATGGTGTTCTCTTTTTGGCAACGTGAATTTCGGGTGCCGGGTCTTGCACCGCAAGCCTTGGCATGACAACCGGAACTTGTGGGCAAAAAAATCCACTAAACACCCTCCTGAAACCCTAAACCCTAAACTCTAACCCCCCCAAACCTCAAATAGAATCCTGAGAGGGGCCCGAACCCCCCCGCAACAGAACCCTTGAGGCCTTTCCGGAGCCTGAGCTTAAGGAGCCCTATCTCCCCCTAAAGGAACCCTTAAAAGCAACCTTAAGTCCCTCAAAAACTCCTGTAAAATACCGTTCTCCCGGAAAGAGACTATAGCTAATATAGGGCTCAGGGTTTAGGGCTCCTTGAGTCAACGGAACAAGCGCCGAGAGGCACAAAGCCAGGCCGATGCCCGAGTTTCCGCCGGTGACGACCACGCGCTTCATGGCCGGGCAAAAGCGGTCCTACCGGAAACCCCCAAAAGCGATGGAACAACAACGCGGCCGCTTCGTGGAGCTAGATCATCCTCCAGGCCTGCAGGCGCATCCTTAACATGACCTGCAAGAGTCTCTGAGCCAGCAGGATGTTCACACACAGTTTTTCAGATGAAGAACTTGAGAGCACTCAACCCAGTACTTGGGCTTGAGCTGCTCCGAGAAAAGCGCGGCGTCGAGAACAGGGAGTTCTCGTGCTTCAGGATTAATTACTTGCTTTCACATTCACTGGCGTTTCATGCTCTTGTTCTCGGAATGACAAAGAGTTCTGAAAATCAGGGAAACAATGTGTACGGGGCCCGCCAGTTGATGGCGTTTGCAAAACAAGAAGGAAGTTTGGGTGGTCGTTCCTAGAGACTGTTGACCCTAATTAAGTAGCTAGCCATCCAAATACCTACACCAACACGAAACTGTGAGCATGAGTTCCCAAGGCATATCATGGAGTCGCAATCCCAGAGACTCCAATATGCCTTAATTAAGGATAATGTACCTTAAATCGAATTAGGGATCCTACTATAATTTAAGGTATATTCCTTAATCAAGTGAGAGCGGACGGAGTCTCTGGGATGCATAGTCCCGATGAGAAGTCTGTGAGCCTATGAAAGCAGAGCCCCGAAAAAATACTTCGGTTTAGGGTTTAGGGTTTAGGCCCCGCTCACCCATGCTGAACTCAGCGTCCTTAAACCGCCATTCAAGGACCTTGCTTGTCACACCCCCTAGTCTTATAAGAATATGCCCTCATGAGCCCTTAGCCCTAATGAGCTTTAGGTGAAGTCATGCAGTTAGAGCCATCAGATTCATCGGAAACTCACCAAAGCCACAGCGTGGATGCTGAGCCGGGGGCGAAGCTGCAAACGACGTCCTCGTCCTGCCGGCCCCTAGCCGCCCTAAACCGCAAAATCTAAACTCTAAACCCTGAAGACCTACCCCTAAACCCTAAACCCTAAAACTTAAACCCTAAACCCTAAACCCTAAAGCTTAAATCCTAAACCCTAAAACTTTAACCCCTAAACCCTAACCCCTACCCCTAAACCTAAACCGGACCTAGGCCATCGGCTAAACTCTGCTAGGCCTCAGCGCTGGCGCCTCTCCTCCGCAACTCTTGTCGCCGGTTTTCGAAAGCCTGGCTTAAGAATTGCGGGTTCGGGCTGGGGCGTTGGGGGTGTTAGTTTTGACGGGTTTACAGGGGGGTGGGGCGGGGGGGTGGGGGGGGGTGGGGGTGGGGGACTTCAAGGTTATCTAATCATTCCAGGCTTGATTTGACGGTTTGGCTGCAGGACCGTATGGCTTTCTCTGGTTTTTCGATGGGATTGCAGAAGGAGTCATCGGCTCTGTTGCGTTCTACTAGGCTGTTCAGTAACCCACTGGGGAAAAGTATGTATATACTTTTTTAATTTCTCATTTTATACTAGGAACCCAGAAACCTGAAAGTAAACAAGTGTACCACTGAACAGCCTGGTCTACAAGGATTCCTGACGTCTTGGGTTTCGAACCTTCGGACTCGGCAGTTGGTCGGGTTTGGGGGTTTAGGGTTTGGCATGCGATGGCTGCACGAAAACCTGTCCCCAGACTAAACTCTCCACATGCAACAAAAGGCCAAAAAGCTAAATTTGGAGGGCTTCGAGGGGGTCTGGAAAAGGCCACAAAGCCAAATGTCAATTTTCTTCCTTTAGAGTAGACTAGTTTGGCTGCGCGGTGATTCTGGCAGAATCGCTTCTAGGACTGTGGGTGAGGCCTGTTTAGCGCCCTGCCACTCCTCTGCTGTACTCCTCTGCTGTACAGCCCATTCCAAAATACAGCACAAAATCCGACAGACTAAACCCTATGAGCCCCTAAAGCACTATATAAACCCAACACAGCGTTCTCCAATCTTCGCAAGTTGGCACTTGTTCCGACCGGATGTGCCCGCTTTAGTTTGGGAACCTGACTGACCGCACTTGGATCCGGGCGAGATTGTCTACTACAGCAATCTGGGGACGATAACGGAACTGCTTATACATAGAACTAGTAGCCTGCATGTCCGAGGGATGCCGGCTGATGCAGGACCCAGTGGTTGAGTTCCGAGTCAGTCGGTAAAGCCACATACAGCGCAACCCTTACGGAACACCGTATAACCAAAAGTAGTTCTTTCACTAAAGCTCTGTAGTAGTCCGGCTAGTACAGCCTTATTGAACCCCGTAGTCATGTCCCCTTTGAAACCCCTTCAACAGGCCCGAAGCGCTCCTGTTGACGCAGAACTAGCCATTAGACACATTCAACTCGGAGTTCGAAACCCGAAGCCCGGACTCTAATCCAAAAGCCCAGCATAATCGAGGGCCAAAAGTATGGCGGTCTGAATGCTCGGTAACTTATGATCATCCGATTGTTGTGATCCCTATATGACTTTAGTTATTCTCAAGTGACTCTAAAAATGTACTATGCCTTCCTATTCAGCTCCGGCCTTTGTACTGCCTGGCTAGCTGCAAGCCCGCCTTCTTGGCACCGAGCGTCTCGGACAGAATCCTGCTGACGGTCCACTTATTGTATCTTTAAGGGAGGGGTCCAAGGGGTGTATGGGAGTTTCCAAGAATTAGGGGACCCGAATCTAAAACCCTAAATAGTAGGATCCTTGTTAGAAGGACCCCAGAATAAGGTACCCCTAAGTTTCGGAAACTCCCATATAAGCGGGTTACCCCAATGCTTTCAAACACACCTCAGGGTTCCCTAAGGTTCCCTGAGGAGTTGTCTGGATCCCTCGTACTCTCCCCACTTGACTCACCGTCCTAACGGATCCGACAATCTGAAGCGCAGGGTTCAGGCCGGAAGCGATTTAAGCGTAGTAGCCAAAGCATGCAAAAAAAAACGTTGCAGGAGTAGCAAAGTAGACAAGAGCATGAGGACGATCAATCGTGATGTGGAAGGTTGATGCTCGAAGACGAGTCATCGTTAGCCGGCATGCTTGCGATAACGAAGGCAACTGAAAACTACAGGGCTCCAAAGACTCAAGTAAGGAATACGCTCGAAGATATACATTGAAATCTCTTATCTGGAAATCAGAAAAATCAGCAAGTAAGAGCGCTTTATGAGGATCCCACATGCGTGGTGGGATCCTTTAGATACAGACCCCTAAACTTGACCCCACAATTCAATCAAGCTTTGGGTTGAAAAAGATCCAATAAGTGGTCTAGGGCTTAGGGTTTACCCCTCAAGTAGAAGCCAGAAAGTTGGAGCATCAATATTCTCATGAAGTTTCGTGGTTGTGATACAACAACTCTCAATCATTCTTCTCGTGTTCGAAGCCGAGAGAACAGGGAATCCCAGCACTACATAGTCACCTAGATCCATGATCCAACTTTATGGGGTTCACAACATTCACTACATCTCCTTAATCAATTGAGAGCGGGTTCCTAGGATTCCGAGGGCCGCATTGTAATACTGCAAAGCTTCCGAACATGCTCGCAAACAAGATCGCTGCAGCCAACTGGGGGAGATAGAAGTCCCCAGCCAGTAGCCTCAAACCCTACGAAAAAGTAGGTTATAAGTTGGGAACTGCCCCCCTACAATAACAGTCTATACTAGGGCTACAATTAAGGTTCCAATATACCTTTATCATGAATATTATCCAACTGTTACTGAGGGGGGGGCAGTACCCAAGTTCTAAGTTATGACCCCGTAGTTATATGGACTAGCCTGCAAAGCAGCAGGTTCCAGGATCACAGATACCCATGACCCATAGTCCTTTCAGCCTATATACATACATATATATATATATATATATATATATACATATATATATTAATATGCAGTTGCTGGGGACCCTCAACCCTAAACCTAGCGGTCTTCGTGGACAAGCAGAGAATCTCGGCAGCTGTCCAGCGCAGGTGAGCGGCTGGGCCATTGCTGCGCAGCTCCTTGCATCTTGACGAAGGCTTCGGGTTTAGGGGTTCGGTTTGTCAAAACCACCAGAAACCTGCATCATTTAACTAGGCTTACGGACTGTAAAAACGAAATCGTGAATAAACACGAACCACAAACAGGGAGGTTTCTCGGTGCCCACGTCTGGTTTTTACGGCTTGATCTGTGTTGTGGGCCCTTGAAGTGCCCGTCGGAAAGGGCTCAGATGACGAGGAGTTCGGGACTAGTAAACCCACATCGGAAGGGTGTAGTGCCAGATCCAATATGATACCCAAAACTGTGCCCACCATTCCCCTAACCTTTTGAATATAACTCCACCCTGAAAAACTAAACTCTTGATACCGAAAAACTGAAGGAACAGATACAGCCTCACACGGCCGAATCGCGGTGCCAGCTGTATGCCTGCCCTGCCTACACATGGTCCTTCAACCAACCGTCACTTCAAATAACCGAGCGCGACACGCCGGGGACTGGAGTTACGTAAACACCACAGTAACTAGCACAGGGTTGCACAAAGGTTCTAACAGCGTTAGACAAGTCAGGAACCTTAAGGACTGGTGTTGGTAGTCATTGAGCCTCAGAAGAGTGACTCGGGCACCGGTTAGAAGAAAATAGCGCCAACTTGTCGACGTTGCAAATACCCTGAGAGACTTGATATAAGATAACTCTACAGTAAACCCTAAAAATTCGACCCTGAACCCAAATGAGGTGGAGCCTCCCGAACCTCATGACATAAACCTGCCGCTAGACGCTGCCCGACTCTGCTAACACAACAAACATCACCAACCTAAACAGTACATTTAACCTTGGTAAACCCTCAGCACTCACCCGGGTTTGGACGGATGTCATGCTCAGGCTGCTCAGGCTATGGCTTCGGTCGTGCGTCATCCTTGACTTCGTGCTACTCCAAGCCTGTTTGGCTAGAAGCACAACAATAAGACTCACAACGGAGCCCTAAACCCCCTTCTAGAACCCCCGTATAGATCCCTTATCGGAACGCTTATACCCTTGTATAGATCCCTTAAAGGAAACCGTTGAGTCAAATCTCAAACCCCCTC